CCAGAAGAGCGTCTGCTTCACAGAACCCTTCGGTAACCCCTGTGCTGAGTGAAAGCGACCGAGAGGTGGAAAGTGTATGACCTGGCAACGAAGTACGGAAACGCTGACCAGTAAACTTAGTCGGGTTGGCAACTGCCGCCTACCTGCCTGGGGCTCAACTCACCAATGATTGGTGGCATTGGCAGAAATGGCCCAATGGCGCTCGTGCGTCAATGCTATCGCCTCCCGTGCCAACTAAGGCTTGGCTGTATTTCCCGCACTCCATTTCTTGTGACTGACTGCAGCAGCTGTAACCGGTGTGCCTATGGTACAAGATTTATGGCTGATGAATTGAAATTGAATTATGTTGTGCTTTTTCCCGTGGGGCCTGCCAAACATCCCAGTACCTCTATTAGGTTATTTTTAGCGAATATCAACACTGCGGCTCGAATCATGTTGTGTATTACGATGAGCTTCTCCGAGATTGCAACGTAAAAGTAAGTGCGGTCAAAATTTTTTGCCAGGCTAGGTGACCAGCTCTCTGGAATATTACTAGCCCACAACTTACTGTTACCTTCATTTCACCTCCTCTCATCAGTTGATTAGATTTCTTTTTGAGGCCCATCAAAAATTTTTATTGGCTTGAATTTTATGCTGTTTGCCAGTGAATTGCTGTCTGTTGAAAGCCAAAGCTCGATGGAGACTTTGATACAAACAAGTAACTAATCACAAGTAGCATTGTGATAAGTTTATATTTTCACTTTGCATCGTTACATTTCTGTCACTGACACATTCCTGAGTTTGATCCAGTTTATTCCCCGCTGGTTTGCTGACTAATGTGCCTATTTGCTTACCTATCTCTTGCATAGAATGGCTACCCCAATGCTTTCTTGAACCAACAACAACAACAATCTGGTCAAGATTCTGGTCCGGGTCAAGGTGGTGCTGGGCACGGTAGTTCGCCCATAACTCAACATCAGCCGCAGCCAAATAGTTCAGCTCAATCCTACAGCGGTATGAAGTCTGTGAACTCCGGTTATGACGACTTATTTGATATGAAATATGGTGACCCTGCTAAGCAAGGTACTATCACTGTTTTGCAGCTTTCTAGCTCACCCTGACGCCGATTTTCCGTATAGACTTTCCTAATTCTAGCTGATGTTCGTGTTTTTCCACCTGGTGTTCCGGCTACTACTACATAGATGCTCTCAAAAAAGGCGACGTTTGTTACACTTGAGGGAAAGGTTCAATTGTTACCTTAGTCACCTAAGAACCCTGAAGGTGTTTCGCAACCATCGACATTCGATATACAGGAATGTTTGCGGTGGGTGGTTCACCCACTCGATGATTGCTGATTGGTTATATTCAGATGTAACCAGGTGGTGAACCGGGTGCTCCTGGGGTTTATGCAGTCAGCTGTTGATCATAATGTAATGTAGCGGATGGTAGTTGGGTGAATTTTGGGTATGTGCTCACGTGCACCTCACCACGCTTGTGCGTAGTTAAACCTTGTGCTAGACTGCCCCCTGTATATAGGCGGGCACCATGCTTGAACTTGCTTGAACTTGGCTTTAGATTACCCGTGTTACGTTCAACTCATTCCGATGCACCTTACTTTTTGCCACTTTTACCCTACTTTTCCTACAGTATGCTATACCGCTTTATTAGTTTGAAAACGAATTCGGGGACACAATACGCAACACAATTGTAGCTTCATCTAGTGTAGACCCATAAGTCTTTTGGCAAATTTGATCTCTTTGTAAACACCGGTTGGCGGGATTTTTCTCCAGGCTCATTTCTCAGGTGCCTGCTTAAGGCATCAATACACAGACCACTGTCTGGCAGTTACTGAAGCCAACTTCTGATCTATTCAACTGGAACACAAGACAGTCTGGTTATATTTCAACTGTCCTCTCTGGTGAGACCATTTAGAGTCCGTCCTTTAGAGCGAAACCGCTTAGTCTACCCACAATGCGTCTCTGCATTGATATGCAGGTGTCCAGTGAAAATGTTATTCTGTGTGATACCTGAAGATGGCTGTTAGCGTAAAGTCTGTTGAGGCAATGTGAGATAATTTATCGATCTGAATGTCTAATGCGTAGCTCGTGCCGCACAAGTATTTATGGAAGAACAAAGGATACTAAGTTTCCATACTAGAATTTACCCGGTGTTTAGCTATTCTAGGCAGATATGAACCATGTCTGCGAAGCGAGCGGTAGGTAATTTCGAGAGGTAATCAGGACCTAATTACAGTTACTGACGAGTTGTAAAAGAATTTATGTAGGAAGATGAATATGGATGTCTCTGTGCTCGTATGCACACATCTTGTGGATAGCCGGGCAACAGCTTGAGTTAGTTTCTCACTCGTTGCAGAAGTAGTTGATTTTTTGCGTGGCTAAATCCAAACGAACAACAGAAAAGTAATACCAATCGACTTCTTGGCCTGTATATTTCGCTCGTAAAGTCTAGGGATTCGTAGGATTGGAAAATGTTTAGTCGTACTGGAGGCAATACAATTACCGTTACATATTCCACACTTGTTCGTTGAGCTTGCTTGTTCTTTACAAAACCGATGAACTTCTATTATATCGTTGAACCTGCACACCCTGATAAGTTTATAAGTCTCCATTTTCGCCGTACATTTTCCTCTTTTCAGTGGGATTTAAAAATACTGGGAATCCAAATTACGGATCGTTCCAGGGGCAAATACCTTCGACTGAAGTTGTCGGATCCAAGTTATCTTCAAGTGCTCATTCGACTAGTGGCGTCCTCACGCAAGGTTTCAACGCTAGTTCTGGAGCAGGTCAACCATTTTCTCCACAGTTCTACCCTTCAGCACCCTACATAACTGCTGCTGTTGCAGTTGCTGCAGCTGCTGCTGCCTCTGCTCAACAACAACACCAGGCGGCTCATGCCGGAGGCCCTGTTGCTGGAAGTGCGAACCAATCGAATGCAGGTGCCCCTTCCGTTAACAGTTCTGGCACCCAAGTTGGTAGTGGTACTGGTGCTTCGAATGCCTTGCACGCTTCGAACGGGGCTAATCAAGCGATGATTCTGGGTCCTTCTGGTTCAAACTTGCATGCTCATCATCACCAGCGTTCGGTAATGCCTCAGCAGTACTAACTTTTGCAATGCGCCAGTTTCCCGGGCTTCTTCGGTGGACCAAAATTTGTGATGATGTGTTTCGATGTCACGAAGAGTTTTGTTGTTAAACGTTTTGTTGGAGCTAATCAGTTGTGATGCGGAAGCACAGGTAGTCAAAATCCTGTTCAATCCGAATGCGAATCATTCATTGAACGTTGTCACACTTCACCCATTTTCTTCCTTTCACCGCCCACGCTCTTCACATCAATACACAAATACACAGTGTCCTAGCTTTGGTTTAGTGTGGAAAACTGTAGAATTGTGTTCATCTTACTGGTGTCGTGTACATACTGACTGCGTAGAATCTACTCAATGGCCTTCATTCTGTTCGTCCTTCCCAGGTGCTCTTTTCATGTGATTGCCGATGTAAATCTCATTTGTCTCAGCTAGTTTTCACTGCTTAACGAGACCACGAACAACCCGGCTGCGCGTTTTCTGATGGTTTCGCTTTTTATATTCATTCCTATGGCCGTTAAGTCTTGAATTCCATATGGCGGATACATAGCAGATGAACACAGGTCGGAAAATATACATTTATTTACTGATGGTTCTGTTAGTTTTTTTATTGTGATTCGGTTGGTGAGTCGTGCTTACAGACAATATGTTGTTTTCAGATTCTTTGCACGACTCAATGACTACCTACAGTCACCCGGTGGAGGAGCATGAGGACGTATGGTATCCTTATGTTCATTTTCACGGGTTTTATGACCCCGTTATGGTTGGTAGCATTGATGGTACCGACACTGTTCCTCACGATCGGGCCGTCATGCGTTGTCTCTCAGCAACATACAAACCAAAGTTTTCCGAGTGCCTTGGACTGGATCCAAAGGTTAGCGTTTTTTCAGTACCTGTGTCGTTCAGTCACACCTTAGGCATTGTCACCCTTTGGTCCGTTTCGTCTGCTTCATGTAGTTTGGCTCATGTTGGCCTTTTTAGTACCCTGGGTTCGAAGACAGCGTTGTCACAGTACTCAAAGGTTGCTTGATACTTTGTAGCTTTTGGGGCGCCTCATTCTGTCATATATCCAAACACTGGCGAACAACATCAGGTTTGTTATTGAACCATCATGTTTTGCTTACCAGTCGTTCAGCTGTCGCTTCATGTAGATTCTTTTAATTCGTGATCGACACCTCACGTAGTACCTCGACACTGCCCTCAAAGACTAAAGTGACAGAAGTACATTTAAACTCTTTATGCTCCAATGGATTCCACAATGCAGATCCTATAAATTTGTGTAGTTAGCTTCACCGGTTCGGACAGCAAACGTCGAGTGGGGATGTTTCGCTCTGTGCTTATACACTTAGAAATGAAGGGTATCGTAGTCCTTCATATTTCTTTACTACGTCCCCACCCCAAGGTAGCGGATTTCGCACACGCTTCACGCAAGGCAACATCCGTGAGCCCGAAGTAAGTGTAGTGAGAACGCGAGATGGCCCAGGTGCTTAGGGCTCGAATTTACTGACGGGAAGGTCCGTGGTTCGAACGCGACCTCTGCCTTTCGACTTCCCCTGTCTAGGCTTGGGCAACCTGGCAGTATCCCAGCCCTCGTGCAGCCTTCGGGTGGCATGGCAGTTAGGCACCGAAAGGGTGTTACAGCTGAACGACGCTACCCATGTTTGGTGCAGCGAGAAAAAACCGAGCGAAACTGTTTCCCCGTCTCTGGTCACGAAAGAGGAGAGACCTAGTCTAAGTTCGCCTTCACAATTGACACAGTTGTGTCATATTGTCATGGGAGGATTATTGGCGACAGCAATCGGGAGATTCAGAACCTTTCCGTTACCTTTGACTGCACTAGAATCGAAGAAGTGAGTAGATTGGATAGGGTCGCAGTATCATAAGCTGCGAGCGGTCTTTCAGTGATGTCTAGGAGATGTCGGAAAACATTATCTTCCTGCTTTCGTCCGGGACTGGTTTCGGGTGAAACGATAGAACAGAATTCAGGGCGATGTCACAAAAAGACAGTGCCGTCGTCTTAGCGCGTGCTGGCCAGTGAAGCTGGGACATTCTAGAGACGACAGTGAAGCTAACAATGCATGCAGCAAGTGCAAAAACATCGTTTGTAGTTGCAGTCTTATACTGCTATTCTTGGGTGTCCTGTACAAAGCGGAAATTCGTAACATCTACCCGACTTGTGACCTTTTCTTCCACTGATTTACATCCACGCTTAGTGTTGACTGCATGACAATACGGACTGAAGTTCCCCTCAACCCATTTAGTGAGTGACGAGTGTATAGACGGGTCTCAGCTGAAAGTAGTGAATAAGGTACATGGTTAGCTTATATCTATATCCCCAAGGTTAGGTTGATCTGACATTTGGCGAAAGTGGGAAGAGAATATAACAATCGGCTGGCATCAGTCTACAACCTTCTTTGATCTGAAGGGAATGTGGCCTTCTGTGCTCCTTCGGAGAACCAAATGGGCGCGTTTTTGACCAGTTCTACTCGGTTGTTAACAGTGAATCAGAGCACTCAACAAGCCCTTCAGGGTCGCTAAAAATTGTGTGCGGGAGGACGGTATGTTTCCGAAGTACTTCAAGGAGCAAGATAGGTAGTGATTTTTCTGTTGGATCAAAATAGACTCAGTGGATGATGGAACATTGCGCGGATTGCTGTACTACTCGCGTTGAATTGCACCCGCCGGTACCGCATCAACATCGCTCGTGGCTTTGGTCAGTGGCTATTATTATTATGCATTGAGCTGGATAGGCTGTGGCCGTTGGAAACTTTCAGTTGATACAAACCAATCTAATAATGCGGGATATTGGCGTAGATAGACGGGATGACATTTCTCAGTGAGTGTTGAGCATTATTGCGAGGAAATTAATCGCTTAAACCATAGCCGTAGTCACATTGCTGCCAATAGGGGTGCCGTTGTGGGATTGTGATAGGAGTGCATGGTTTTCCTGAATCCACTTATTAATTGACTTGGATTCATTCGTGTCTAATCGGCCACTCCATACCTTCGTCTAACCGTTCCGAACGCTGCGTCTGGCTTGATCCCAGCGAGTTGTCGACCTGGATAAGCAAGACAATCGAGTATGTGCACCCACACATGACATACAATCTCAACGGTTCCCCTAATAATTCACCCATACCTGCTTAGATTTCTGTATTTGCAGTGCGCGATTGACATGGCGGACTCTAACCTACTGTTTTCAGTAAGCTTATGTGGTGTCACTCGAATCTAGGTAATATGTGGAATAATGAGGGTCATCGTTTGCTATCGTGGTACCCTTCTAGACTGCATAAGTCACCCACTGGATGTTCGAAATGATGCTCAGGTAGACTTCATAGGTTCTCCGGGTTTTGCTGCAGTCTTTGGGGTCGAGTCTCCTGATCCACCATCACAGCAATATTTCACGAACTAGATAAACATTAAAAACCTAATGGAATGACGTAAAAGGCTGTTACCGAATGATTTGACCAGATTCGACCCAAACTATCACTACCGTTGATAGTCATTTTCACTACCACCCCGGACAGAGGACCGTTAAATCAGAGCCACAAAATGTTGCTGTGTCCTGTAGGAACGAGAGATGAGGGCGCTTGGCAGATAGGTGAATAGATGCATACTGTCGTGTTGTGAACGTAGTGTAGAACGAGTACGAGAACCGTATGCCAAACCCGCTTTTTTATGCCCTATGACTGTAATTAGGCAGTGTACACATGGTTTGACGAGGTCGCCTCTTTAAAGAGTCGAAGTAAAGTATGCTGCTAGACATCCATTTCATCCCCCTAGTTAGGCTTTGTAACCCACCACCATTCGTTAAGGCACATGTACGAATTCTGTCCGAGCTGTATACGCTGAGCACTCGTAGTCTCATTTTTAAATGTCAATGGACCAATAAGATCTGCTGTTTGGACGTAGCACAATATTCAGAAGGTTGCTGAAAAATCCTCTACAGGAAGATGAACCTACAGAAAAAAGCACACCCCAAGGTTAGGATACTCCCGTGAAAAGCAGAAATCTAGAATCCGAAATCCACACTGAACAAACGCACACCAGAAATAGTCAATATCAGTTAACTCACTATTCGAAGAAGGAAAGGTTAGATAGGATAGGAGGATAGGAAGTAGGACACAACTAAGAGCAGTAAACATGCGGCTAAATGGAGGAGACAATGAGAGATGATCATTTGGATGCAATAAATGCTTTCGCAAGAACTGATGGGGCGATAAAAATGACAGGAAATAGTGGCAGCAATGGCTCCGAAAGACCGATCGGTAGCAGTGGCGAAGGCAAAGCCTACGTCTCATCACTTTGTCTGTCAGTCATTTGCGGTTTGTCGGTGGGCTTGATGGCCTTTCTGTTTCTGACCCACCGGGTCTAGTTGGGTTAGGAGCGCCATTCCAGAAAATTCGGACAATACTAAACCATTCGACAAATTTTGGCTCCGTAAAGTTACACAGGGACAAGGAACTTTTTGGAAAGACTGTCTAGCCCATCAGTTTTACATGGTCGGATCATGAAAGATCACACGAGACAGACAGACCCAGAGGGTGAGAAGCTTGATAGATGTGGAATAGGAATACACTCGGTCCTGAATGGGGTGAGGTTCACTGCTTGATGTCCACTCTACAGCTCCGGTGACATCAGCATTGGAGTTAATGTTGGCGAGGGTCGTGACAATAGAGTATGATGTCCTCCGAGAGTGTATGACTACGGGAGAGTGTGGACCAAAGTAAATGATTGACAAAATAGAAACGAGACTTCGAGGTGAATTTGCACCACCGAGCGTACTGCTATTCAAAAATATTAACCCAAATGAATGTTCTAGTCGTGTTCAAAATGCCGGAAATCTGACCTAGTGCCTACCATGCCAGACAAGGTCACAGATCTCGGATATGCCCAACATAACAGCTTCAGATTCACTAAATTAGTCCAAAGTTAGAAACCACAGGCGAGAGGGCCAGATGATCCGGTTTTTGATAAATCCGCGCTGGTGACTACTGAAATAAGTAGATCTTTCGAGCATCAGCAGCAGTAGGTTGACGGTGACTGAATCCATTGCTTTTCATAAAACAAAGAGTGTGGTCCCACACCAGGTATACCAGCTATTCTCTTATTTCACAACCGGTAGATAAATGTGATTATGAAGATAAATTTTTATGTTCCAAACTGGAGGGGGCGCAAAACGGACCTCATTTGGGGGCGAGACGGATCGATGGTTAGAGTGCGTAACTACTAACCGGAATGTCCGTGGTTCGAACCCAACCTCTGCATCTCGACTTCCCCTGCCTAGGCTTCGTAACCTGGCAGGTATCCCAGCCTTCCTTTGGATGGCGTGGCTGCTAGGCACCGAAAGACTGTTATAGTTGGACGGCTTCGACCGGAATGTCCGTGGTTCGAACCCGACCTCTGCATCTCGACTTCCCCTGCCTAGGCTTCGGTAACCTGGCAGTATCCCAGCCTTCCTTTGGATGGCGTGGCTGCTAGGCACCGAAAGACTGTTATAGTTGGACGGCTTCAGTAGGATTGTCCGGAAACTTAGGTGTATCTTTCGAGATTAAATTATTCCTAAGCGAAGTGGTAGTGTGGATATACATCTCCCCCCAGTTTATTGACTGGTAATTATGGTGTATCCTACCTACTTGGTAGACGGGGAGCCGTAGAATGAAGACGTGACAAAAATCAATGGTCCAAAGAACCGATGGACTAGCAAACTGAACCGTATACGGGAAAACATTCGCGGTGAAGAAAAGCTAACCAGCATGTGCACAGTCTCAACGTTCGCTGAGGATACAAGTAGGGGACTACATGAGTTGTGAAGATTTCTTGAGGAATTTTTTGGAAGGTTCAGTTACACAAATTTCTGCTTGAACCTTGGATAAACAATGATGCCAATCTCTGTGGACCCTAAAATCACTATGATGGTGTATTTCACTGGTAGGATCTCAACTCAAATGAGCTTGATTCACTCCGAAGTGAAATCGAATAGGCCAATGTGGTCGGTAGTTTTGCTGGGACAGTATACTTACTAACAATATGTTCTCTGTGGCAAACGAACGAAATTGAGCCACGAGAATGCAACAACCGAAGAAACGGTTTTGCCGGTGTTTGAGAAGAAAATGTAAGCGTAGATGTCAGCTTCACAAGAGAACTGACTACGTATTTAGTGGGACCGGACTCGAGACATCAGAATTTGTCGGTCGATAGATTCGTTAACGCTCGAATATTTCGGCAGTGCTCATAAGTGACGATGGCACCACTGACGCCGACAACAAATTCAACATAGGAGATGCTCCATTTGAAATCGAAGTTGACCTGTAGTTCCCCCTATTGCGTCACTGCTACGAATCAAACTATGTTCCCATGTTGGTCAGTATTTCACTAGTGGAAAGATTACCTGGTTGTTGGAGAATAGCCAAGATTCTTTTGACGCATAAGACAAGGACCCGTAACACTATATCCGCGTTCCCAATTCGTTTAAGGGTGCATATCATCACGAGTTAATACTAGCCCCTGTTTAGGTCGCGCTTGACACCAGACGCCGTCACTTATCTTGTGCAGTGAGTTTCTTTAACATGCAACGGATATCCTATAACTGTACGTTTATTATCGTTCTACATAAGTCCCTTGTCAATCGAGGTCCGTTGCTACAGATTCCAACTGGAACCAGTGGGACCAACAATAGTCACTCAAGCTTAATCTAATCACCCACAATTTACATATCTGGTTAAACGGAAATCTCGACTGCTAGCTTGTCAGGTGCGCGGGACGAATGAATGGGTTGAAGGAACTTGCGCAGAGTTAACGGTGAAATGTTTTCAATGCCCAACTCAGGGTGGCCTAAACAGAGTGGTGACCAGCCCTTGACTGGTCAGAGGAGTATGAAGGAGATCATGAAACGCTTGGGTGCTGTCGGTGCTACTCGCCTTCCAGGATGGGGACCACGTGATCCTCATTGTGCCTGGTTGGAGACACTACAAGATATGGCTGCCAACCGATGTCAGTGGCGTTGTTGCTGTCAGTTTCTATCCAGGTTATCTGAGCGAATGTCTGGAGGTGTGGGCACCTCGGAATGATTGTGGTAAGCTAGCAGTAAGTCCCTCCCCTGTCCACATTTACTCTTTTCTTTACAATAAGGCCTTCAAATAAGTCATGGTTGTAGGGCAGTGAAGCATCGGTGTTGAACACTGATGTCATGCTGTCGATGATGATGATGATGATGAACGGTGAAATTTGTAGCTTGATTTATTTGATTCCCGAGAGCGTGCGAAAAAGGTCGTCCTTCTAGAAACCCAAATAAAGATGACAAGTAATCGGACGTCGACCGGAATCACCTGTTTAAGTTCATTAAGAACAACGCTAGCGACCTACCAGAGTAAAATAGAGGACGAGTGCAAATTTAATAAAAATTGTACTCTTTTCTACCGAAACTTTATACACCAAATGAGCTACGAAAATAAATTCTTCCCGTTCATTCCATGGCTTTTGGCAATTGAATGTTTATTGTGTTCAGTTGAAGTCAATATATTTTAAAAATTTAGAATAAAGCAGTCTGAACTGAACCTCTCAGCTTGCCGATGGAGCTTAATTATGGGTTGCTGGTAGGTGACCTGAGTCTATTCACCTCTCGTGACACTGTCCGATATTCGTACACGCCCCCCGTCGCAAGCGGAAATGGTGTGCATTTCATCTGTCCCCCTAAATGTCCTTGTTTGTAAATTTACTTCGTACCTTTTCATGGAATGTCAATGGCAAAGACATCTACTACAGGCCTCTTAACTGCTGACATATTCCAACCATGAAAACGTCATGGTAACAACATGATACCGGACCGAACGATGGCCACGCGTGAGCTAAGTGGTCACGTGTTAACAGATAACAGATTTCACTGCTGTTGTCGTTCTCAGTAATCCGTACCAAGTCAACGATGATCAACTTCAACAAGGTATTATATCAGACTTTTGGAACATAGGGTATCTGAAGAATGAACTACTGAAGCCATTTGAGAACAATGGTCGCATCGGAGAAAATGTCCTGGATGCCCTCAAAAACATCAGAGACAGGTTTCGAACATTTGGTGTCTTCATCTCGAGCCCAGCGTTGTTGGTACAGTCGCCCGAGTGATAGCTATTTTTCATGCTGGTCTAACTGTATTACCTCAAAGAAACCGATAAATTTCACTGCTAATTGCGCACCCACTTTCTTGACTTTTGTAAGCATCATTCAAATGTTCTATATTTCAGTACACCGCATAGAGATTTCTCGTAGTATAAAGTGCCCACAAAATCGACCACTCGCTCAATGCATGACCAATTTTGACAGCTGTGTAGGATGATTTACCGCGGTTGTCTCCTGGCATCTTACGGCACAATGCTATGCCGTACAAGGCAATCCACGCTACTACAATATTTCGTTTTAACCCAACGCGATCGGGATTCATTTCGCCATATTTATTCTAGAGCGGAGCGTGCGAAAAAGGTCGTCCTTCTAGAAACCCAAATAAAGATGACAAGTAATCGGACGTCGACCGGAATCACCTGTTTCATTAAGAACTGATGATGATGATGATGAACGGTGAAATTTGTAGCTTGATTTATTTGATTCCCGAGAGCGTGCGAAAAAGGTCGTCCTTCTAGAAACCCAAATAAAGATGACAAGTAATCGGACGTCGACCGGAATCACCTGTTTAAGTTCATTAAGAACAACGCTAGCGACCTACCAGAGTAAAATAGAGGACGAGTGCAAATTTTATTAAAAATTGTACTCTTTTCTACCGAAACTTTATACACCAAATGAGCTACGAAAATAAATTCTTCCCGTTCATTCCATGGCTTTTGGCAATTGAATGTTTATTGTGTTCAGTTGAAGTCAATATATTTTAAAAATTTAGAATAAAGCAGTCTGAACTGAACCTCTCAGCTTGCCGATGGAGCTTAATTATGGGTTGCTGGTAGGTGACCTGAGTCTATTCACCTCTCGTGACACTGTCCGATATTCGTACACGCCCCCCGTCGCAAGCGGAAATGGTGTGCATTTCATCTGTCCCCCTAAATGTCCTTGTTTGTAAATTTACTTCGTACCTTTTCATGGAATGTCAATGGCAAAGACATCTACTACAGGCCTCTTAACTGCTGACATATTCCAACCATGAAAACGTCATGGTAACAACATGATACCGGACCGAACGATGGCCACGCGTGAGCTAAGTGGTCACGTGTTAACAGATAACAGATTTCACTGCTGTTGTCGTTCTCAGTAATCCGTACCAAGTCAACGATGATCAACTTCAACAAGGTATTATATCAGACTTTTGGAACATAGGGTATCTGAAGAATGAACTACTGAAGCCATTTGAGAACAATGGTCGCATCGGAGAAAATGTCCTGGATGCCCTCAAAAACATCAGAGACAGGTTTCGAACATTTGGTGTCTTCATCTCGAGCCCAGCGTTGTTGGTACAGTCGCCCGAGTGATAGCTATTTTTCATGCTGGTCTAACTGTATTACCTCAAAGAAACCGATAAATTTCACTGCTAATTGCGCACCCACTTTCTTGACTTTTGTAAGCATCATTCAAATGTTCTATATTTCAGTACACCGCATAGAGATTTCTCGTAGTATAAAGTGCCCACAAAATCGACCACTCGCTCAATGCATGACCAATTTTGACAGCTGTGTAGGATGATTTACCGCGGTTGTCTCCTGGCATCTTACGGCACAATGCTATGCCGTACAAGGCAATCCACGCTACTACAATATTTCGTTTTAACCCAACGCGATCGGGATTCATTTCGCCATATTTATTCCGCATACATGGAGGTTTTTCCTACCTAAATATACATTATCTTCTGTAATGTACTACTCATAAGGCTGCTGAAGATCCATCGACAGCCCACGACCGGTTTTGCCCTTCTCGGGGCTCATCAGGTAGGCGCAGTCCCCGGGTTTTCGTCAACCTTATGTTCTACTTGAAACCAAATTGCACGAAATTAGCGAATATACACTCATCTGCAAACTAATTTGGTTCTTTCGAGAGACTCACCTGGAACCCAGCTGAATCTCTCGTTTATGATGGTGCAGCACATTCAGTTGCCTGAGAACATCATTACATTATCTTCGGTTTCTGAGTGATTTCTTCCCATGCAGTGTCACTGCTTCTCAAAAAACATGATTTGGTCATCTATACGCACCAGTATTCGAATTTTCCCTTACTTCAATACCCGCCTACCTCGAATTTCTTACCATAATTTCAAAACAACCTTCCGTTCTGCTTGTTTCAGTAACATATCTGCCTACTTTTTGGAGTATGAGTGGAAGTTTACTTTCCTTGTACCTTTAAAGCAAACAAATCTAGGTTATGAAAATGGCTGATTTCACTTCCGTGGTAATGTGAATGGACAATGCGAGTGAGCTGAAAACTCCCCATGAATTGTCTTGGTAGCATGAAATTAAAGGGGATAGCAATAGTTCTCTTTTCCACCGACTTTTCATATGCCGGGTATTGTAACACGTGTTGAAAGACGTGCGATTTAAACTGGTTGGATGTGTTTTTGATCCTCAAGGCCACGCTTTTCGTTGGACGTCTGTCGCCACAGACTACCTCCTCGGTACTCATAGAGGCACTTCACTCTCTACTTCACCGGCCAACTGAACGGCAACAACAATCGAAACGGTCACCCGAGTCTCGTCGTGAACGTCGCCCGCGGTTGCGTCATCGCAGTCGTTCTCCATTTGATACGGAGTCCAGCGTACCGGAAAATCGCATACTCTGGCCAAAAGTTCGGCTAGTCAGGAACATTGCTACCGGATACCCATGTGGCTATGCGTTTGCCTACTTCGAAAACCCCAGAGACGCAGAGTGTGTTCTAAGGAATTGGACGCAGCGTGCGCGGTCAATGGCCGGTTCACAGTATGGAGCCAAACCTGAAGGCTTGGACATCCCTGGCGGTGAAAAGGCAAGTTCAATCCTTATCTCTTTCTTTTCTGATGCCTTGTTTCTGTCAGCTGAAAAAGGCTACAGTGTGGCATCGAGAAAACATGCAAACAGAGGTTCCAGCTCAGGCCCATCAACTCGATGCACCTCGCCTGTTCCAATGAGTCATAGGTTGGTTTTTCCTGGGAGACTTCAGTTAGTCCAACTGAATTTCTCGTTTATTAGATTCTTCAACTAAATACGCTGCACAAAGACTGGCTTTTGTTTCAGTCGGTACACTATTCGAGATATCCCAGTACAATCTTTTGACTGAAAGAACCCGTGTTGAGCTTTCGAAGAGTTTTCAGTAACCTTATGAGTAGTGTGTCTTGTTGAGAGTGATGGGTTGTTTCGAGTATGCTGGCAATTTGAAATAATCCGACATCAATGACCACGAGACTGTCCCTTCCATTCATCTTTGGAGTTTCGTTTTACGAATCCATAGCGTATTATTTGCTTACCTCCGCTGAATAACTCATGTTTTATGCACTCAGTTTGAAGATTATGCTTGCTGCACATTGGAGCCACTTCAACGAACTTTTTAAATGGTATCCTACTCAAACCATCAGTCCGGACGAATTTTCTCCACGATTAATGAAATGATTCCGAAAGAAGAGTGAGGCAATTTTCAAGAGAGGAAGGCTTTCAAAAGTCAAGCAACTAATGTCATATGATGGCGGAAATCCATAGGCTGAGCAAGGTTTACGTTTACACACTAGTTGGCAACAAAATCTACGGTAGTTGCCGGAGTTTTCTTGAGTAACCGTGCGCTACTGAGTGGAATTCTTGTACAAATGTTCCAATTAAGAATTCGCTAATTCGATGGATAAGTGAATACTTTTGCTTGTTCATCTACTGAGGTAAACAGTGGCCGGAGTTTTCTTGAGTAACCGTGCGCTACTGAGTGGAATTCTTGTACAAATGTTCCTCTACTGAGTGTAAACAGTGCTAGTCCCATTGATACCAAACGCAAGCATGGTGCAAAAGGAGATACTCTAGTGAAGATCTAAAAAAGCTAGTGGCTCAGACCTCGTATTACACCGTGTTTGAATGTCCTAATGGAAACCGTTGTAGTTCTGTTCAATCAGTCTTCCACGAGTAGAGGAATACCTGATTTCCGAAGGATAACCAGGATAATTCCGGTGCTTACGGAGGAGATACCCGATTGCCTGCATAGATGAGGATGCCACGTTATTGGAAGATCATATCACCACACTGCGCGTACCAAACCTCGACTGCATAAATGCCTTTGACACTGGTAATATGATGGAATATTGGTAGCTCGGGTGGATTCATTGGTAAATGATCAGGTGGCTATTGATCTGTTCGCCGAGCTTACCAGTTGACTGGCATAGGTTTCGTCGCCTTTCGAAGAGACATCTTAGATGTAGCTCTGTACAAGGTTGAAGTTGATGAGTCCCATACGTAACCCAACGGAAGATCTCCGCGTTCTCAACCCTTCGCTGTAACCTTCTGGAGCAGCCCTGCGATCCCAAGATCCTTGTGCAACGAAATTTTGGTTTGAAAAATTCCCTCTTTCAAGAGAAGCTTCTATGCAAGCATCCTTAAGAAGGGAACGTCACCAGTGCTTTGGATTTTTACACAATGGGAGTTTCCTTACAAAAATAGCCCAGCAATGCACGCCTTCTGCCCTCCTTCCTCATGGGAAAGTGGCCTGTTACAGCTGGTGCAGATTTATTAACGGGTAATCTATAATTTGCAGCCAGACCAACAACAGCCGAACGCACATCTAGCGTTGCATTGGTTGTCAAAGTTCCAGATCATCTTCTGGTATTGTCGTGAAGCACTGCAAACTGAGGTCAGCTACTTATGCCCTTTCCGGTTGAATGTCACAGGCACCGGTAGGAACCGCAGGGTTCGCTAAGAATGGATGACTTCTCTTTGATCAAAAGCAAGCTTTCACACTGGCTCAGGCTCTGAACTGTGTACTATTCCCGAACGATATGAGGAACTCACTCTCCGAGTCTGGTAACTTCACTAGAAACGCTTCACCATCAACCGGAGTAATACCACCAGCCCTTAGTAGTGAGTCACATTCACAACCAAGGCTGCTTTCCTACCCCAACCGGTTGTACAAACTACAACAAAGAATAATACTAGAATAACGGAGAGGAAAATACCCCTCTGACGACAAATTCACAGTTTGTAGACTGTCTCATAACTTCTAAAAATAAGGATGTTATTTGAATGCCCATTACAAAACTTGAAGGATAGGCCAGGTATTCCGTTTCTAGCTTGAAGTCAGATTCTATAAAATTGATACCACACCTCGCAATCAGTGGTAAAGCCCTGGTTTATTCTCAGAATCAGAAATTAAAGTGACATCGCAAAGCTCTCAAAATAATAAACACTATCGAACTCGTAATTTACCAGAGAATTGCTGCTGAACAATACTGTGAATAAAGAGTCATGCCACGAATAAAGAGTCATGCAACAGCATGCGGATTTCGCTGGTCTCTTTGTACCACACTGATGGAGTAAGCCATCACGAAGTTTTTGAGCGGTCTCTGGACTTTGAAGTCCACAAAATCTGTCGTCAACGTGCTGAATGCTGTGCTTCTCGATTTTCGCAGTCAGTGTGGATACATCTTTGTCTTTGTAATGAGTAATAAAGCAAGGCCTGGGCGGATGTATCTGGGTAAACCGAAGCGGTTCGAACAGTTCGTTAGCGAGGTCGGTTGGAAATGTGTAGCCGCAGGTCTATTCTCAGTACTTCCTCAACTCTGTACTGGTGTAGATACTTTTCACTTGTTTCACAACAGCTGATTGCTTGAGGTTCGGTACTATTTTTACCGATGTTCCTCGCTGGATGATGCCGTTTGTGCCGAGTTATGCGGTGAGCGGTATAATGCATTACTACTACCTCATCAAACCATCAGTCTGGTGCGCATCGGTTGCGCTTCTACCCTGGCTGGCCCTTATGTGCGCACTCAGCTGTCGTTCTCACAACCTTGGCCAAAACATCGCTGTGTGAATCACACGTTTGGTAAAACTCTGGCTGTGTTGAACCCAAGTCCTGCGTCTGGGGATCACAATCACTTTGCCGAAAGAATGTATTTTAAGACTGCATCGTCGATCCAGCTAGAACGAACGGCGTTGCAAAGTACGACATTAGTAAAGACCTGTTTCTGTAATGGGCCGTTCTAACTAAGACGATAGCAAGCACCTAGCCCAGCACTAATCACGTGACTAAAGCTACCTGGTGCTTCTCGACTTCGCTACGTTGACGCGGTTGTCTAAGCATGTGTGATTCGGTTTGCAAACCGGAGAGGTATTCTTTTGTTTAGGCGTAACCAGAAGCCACAATGAAATTGCGGTCAAGCAATAAACAGTTCCAAATAGAATTATCCCATCGTTCAACGGCTCAGGAAAAACACATTTATAGGAAATCAATTCCGAAACCAGTTCCAAACAGGTTTGGATCGATCCGTCGGGCATTAGAAGTAACCGACTGAGCTTGGTAGTTCCTATGTTTCGATGTAACTGCTTGTGTGGTGCGACACGAATCCTAGTTTCCCAGCCTTACGTGCTTGAGGGAAGTGAAATTTTGCTATATCTGTTCTCTCCATTGAAAGTCAGGGCCTTTAGACAACCAGTCGGTCATCGTTACGTGTGTGTGGCGCCACGACTGTTGATTGCTACAGTTTCGCCCATGGACTTGATTGTTATCAAATAACCATGGTAACTTGACTATGGCACGAAAGCTGTTCAACCAAGTGACGCAAGAATAAACCAACCGGCTGAAGTTCGAAGTATCTGTCAACGACATCAGATGTAAGCCGACTAATGTGGAACCTATTGATCGATAAGTGATGTGGGTAGTAAAAGACCACTAACCCATCCGCAGATAACAGCGCCTGTTTTATTGTTTCCCACGCAGGTGCCTGCTGTGTTTACGTCATTAGGAGGGCCTGTACTGATTCGCCTTTGAAGATAAACATTTATCATCTTAGAAAATGGAAGTCTACGCCGAAACAGAATACCACTTTTCCGATTATCTAGCTTCCCATGTCGTGTGTAATCTTCTACTTTCCGTCTTATCTTATGACCTCTTCCTGTTGAGTCTAGGGGTGAAATTAAACTCATCATGCATTGACGTAATTTCTCCGGATTCGTTCAGAATATCGTGTGGATTCAGCAGGGTAGTATGGGAACTGAATGTTGGGGGTGCGGTTAGACACGTTGTACTGACGTGTGACGAATTGCCAGAGTCAGTTTTGCATCCTTAAAAAATTCCTACCAATTTCAGACAAACAACAGTGGTAGCGATTTTCGCACGGAAGTGGTGTGTTAGTCGGCATTCAGGACCGTATCGATCAGTCGCTTGATAAACCAGCCTTACCCGACAGTCACAAGATGGAACTATGCTGTTTGCAGCATGTTTTCATGTGACTAGCTCTCGCAATTATGCTAACTTTCTGTCACGGAAAAAACATTGCACATACCTTGTGTGGACATTAGAGTTCAAATTTGGAGTGGTCTTATTTTCAGAATGAAAACAGATTCATTGTACACTAGAACATTGGGTGGACAACCCCCCCTGACGCCTGGATCAGTTTTATCTTGGCTTGTTTCATAATTTATGACTTTGAGGGGCTACATGAGGACGTTTCATCTTACAAGTGAAGTAAGCCTATTATGAAAAGCTGATAAGTGCTGTTCAGCTGTTTCATCCATGTTAAGAACTATCACCAGTGCGCATCTGACGAATCCCTAGGAATCCCAGGAATCCTCAGCCATACGAGCGACCAATCAGCCGTGTAATGAACTCTCACTTAGGCATTTCGTGGTTTCAGTCGCACGCTGCACATCACGCGCTGCCACGCTCTCCGAGTGCCCACTGCTTAAGTGGAAAGCTTACTCTGCCGACAGGTCGTCATTCGATGAGCCGGTCAACACGTGACAACGTGGAGCGAATTGCGCAACTGAATGATGATTGGTGCTGTATCATGTCCACTGCGGGGTAGCCGCTGGTGGCCAAACAGCATAGTTTTTAACTATCAGCCTCGTCGGTCATGATAATTCGGCTACGTCCAACGTGCGCTGATCCAGGTACGAGCTGCTAATGAACTCTAATGGGAGCAGAGTCCAGCGCCTCTCTCGTTTGGTATGGACTCACCAGAGTGATTGCACAGGAAAGAAGCACTATCCAAACACAATTGATGTGAATACAAATTCTCCTGCGTGTTAATTTCTCGTACTACCAATGCACCACGTAGTAGTTATCCGTACTATCTGCTTGGCCGCGACAGCGCGACGCTGAACATGTCTTCGTCAACTTGATGTTTATCGCCCGCTGTTCCATCCATTATCATTCCGATTCGTGACCCACGTCACACGTTGCACTTCCTAAGCTTCCTCCTTCCCAGCAACTGCCCCGAGTTGAAGATTACTTGGTGAAACCCGAAGAGATTTCAGCAATCTAATAGGCGGTGTTGTCGCAATATATCTCGAATACCGTGCCAATTGAAACATAAGGCGACATTCGTTCGGCATATGTAGATGTGGAACATCATAAGTGACAAATTCAGCTGGGCCTCTCGGTGACTCCAATTCGATTTGCAAATAAGCGCATAGGACCCCCTAATGTTGAACTATTCATCGTAGTTTCGGGCAGAAGTAGCCCATGAGTGGGATTTTATGTTAGCCATTCTTTTCACAACAGAATTGTTCAAAAAGCGCTAGAGCTACACGTAAATACTATGAAAAATGTGGGGTTCGCGCTATGAATTTGTTTTTTTTCCAGCCGCTAACAGAGTAGAGCTACACGTAAATACTATGAAAAATGTGGGGTTCGCGCTATGAATTTGTTTTTTTTCCAGCCGGCTAACAGAGGATATCCTTGGCTAAATCTGCTCATTCACTCACAGCCATAAACCGAACTTTTCTAGAGGAATTTAGAACAAGGGAAATAGTATTTTGAGTAAATCGCCGTTACTTGTAGTTTTATGTTGTCGTCATTTGCCCTGACAATTCCGCCACTCTTGAACTGAATATTGACGGTCGCAATCCCATACCACCAACCTGCTGCAACCTATCCACACTTTTTTGTTTAGTCGGACCGTGACGGCGGCAGTCACCAAGGCCTACTTCGAAGTGTGTGATAATACTCTCGTTTTAGGTATCCTGTGTTGACTGCGTCAGTCAGCGTGGAAAAGGAACCGAGCCACCAACACTTCGGTAACACAAAACGTCCGCTCTCCATGAGTGGAATGAGTGATGATGGCAGCGGTCGATCGATCGCAGTTTGACCTGCTACATTTTCGGCGCTTGCTGTTGGCCTGCTGGGTCAGGTGAGAGAGGTAGACACGCCGCAAACCTTGGTCTCGCTGAACTCCATTCCGTTCGGCAAATATCGTTAAAAGGATTGTTTCAACTTCAACTATGTGGCGTCACTGGTATCAGTACTGAGGTGCAGTCCGCCCACAACTCCATCCTGATAGTGTTTGGTGATGTAACACACCAATAACAGACGGTTATGGTGAGTTGGTTCCGCCCCCTCCTCAATGTGACTGTCAGCTCCGCAGTCAACCCGTGTTCCTGCGCAATGGGCCAACAGATCGCTGTTCGGTCAACAACTATGAAAACACCCGGGTCGCTATGTTCCTGAGGAACCTAACAGCAGTAACAAAAAAACAGCCAAAACGCCTCACGACCGGAATTCGGGTGGAAATGTGGCGGCAACAGCAGCAGCAAAGACCGAGTACGGTTGAGCAGTAGAGGAGGCTTCAGAATCAGGAGGATAGTAACCAAATTGTCCAGTGCTGATTAGGTAGGCAACTACCGCATCATCGGTCATCGGAATAGGCGTGGTTTTATAGTGTTCGGTTGTTTTGCTTATCATATCGAGCTTCGCCCAGTGAAGTACAAACTCCATCAACACGTACTTCTGAGCGATGATTTGTCCGATCAGTTGGCCCAGGCATCGACTGAAAAATATCGTTATTTAAGATGGCAATTCTTTCAATTCTGGTTTGCCTTTCCGAAAGTATGCCACTGTGTTCATTTTTTTCTCTGAGGAGCTTGACTCGAATTCGTGCAATTTACATATTTTTCGAGCATAAGTTACCCTTTAAACATAATCGTGCAAACTTTTACTTCTAGGTCATTCTTGAACCAGCCTTCGCCGAGTCACTTCCTGGTTGGCGGCCTCGACGTCTTGGAGGTGGTCTTGGAGGGCGGAAAGAAGCCGGACAGTTACGCTTTGGTGGGATCGCACGACCTTTCCGACGTCCGTTCAATTTTCACACGAGTTGACACTTAATTCATTTATAGAGCTCCACGAAAAATAAACGAACCTACAATATCTACATGAAATTCCTGCTTTCTTCCCAATAGCTTTAGTTCAGCTTTGTTTGCCGTTGTGGTAGTCGCTAGATATGCACAGCACGGTTCCTCTGGGCCTTCTAACATTGTCATGCTGTGTGTTCAAAGAAAGTATGGATGACTTGTATACTAACCCTACTATCAGGTATGGTGATGGGCTTATACTGATCTACTTTCAACTGTAACCCCACTGGCAACAAGCGGAAGTGAGCAAGAATTTCGCAATCTTTTATTTTGGGGAGAGTTGAATTATTGCTGACAGTTGGAAGTAGTTCATGCAAGAATTTTCATTCCAAGAATTTGTAGCTATTCCATCCCTACAGAATTGTTAAAGAAACGTTCAGATTATGTCTGCCCATTGAAGAAAGGTGAGAGGAATCTAACAATGCTAAGCTTGTTGTTTTTGGTGTCTGCTTCATGGTGTTAACTGCAGCACCACTGGGCCCCGAGTTTTGATTAATTCATGTCCGCGTCTATGATATACACCCACGGTTCATTAGCGAAACTGGGTGCACGTATCGATCTTTAGCGGTCACATCAGTCTATGGAATTACAGACATTTTTCATAACTAATTCGGTGCCAATGAAAAGTCCGATCCACAAATAGTGAACAAGGTTGCCGTAATAGTCAGAAATGCTTTTGTGTGCAACTGCGGTACGGACACAAACGTGCGTTTAAAGCCATAATTCATTTGACTGAAATGGCAGGCCACTCGGGAACGGTTCCGGTCATTTGTGTACAGTGAATTTTGAGTTTGGTCTTCGAATTCTGTAAATTATAAACCAGATTTTTGAAGTGAATTTTGTACCTCGGTGACGGTGTTAACAGTGTTTGCGCGTTACCGATGGTTTGTTTCTCAGGTGTTAGCTTTGCCAATCGTAACTTTTCTATACGCAATACTATGTGATTAGGGTCAAAGGTCATCGCGTAATCACACACCACGGGTCGCATGCAGCTTAACCCCGTCTTCTGTACGGTCAAATTGCGACGATGACAACGCCGCCACCAGTAGAGTGTTACTATAGGTTCTATCGAAATGTACTGTATGTCGAAGCAAAGAGTACAACCACCAAGTCTACGCCAAAAGCGTTGACACCTCGGTAATGAATGAACATGCATTTTCCACACATCTGCTGGCCACGATGTTGCTACGAGAACTTAGTTACTGGCTAGAGATAGGCGTATCGTTTAAAATTCGCACGATTGTTGGATTCTATCCATTCCATCTTCTGAAATGCGCCTTGTACCTTCAAAGTGCAAAGCCATGCTTCAGAACGTGCCGTCTGCGAACATATCCCTTAGAATTCAAGGAGAACCACTGGAGATTGTGGAAAACTTTACATACCTCGGTAGTTGTATTAGCTCTGATGGAATTGTATCTGATAAAGTCAGTGCAAGAATCTCAAAGGCTCGAATCACGTTTGCTAATTTGCGTCACTTGTGGCGTCAAAAAGGCATCTCACTAGATCTTAAGGGTCGTATGTACCAGGCTACAGTAAGGGATGGCGACTAATCGCTGTCAGTAGCGTTCTTGCTGTCAGTTTCTTTCCAGAGTGTCTGGTTGAACTGTTAGATTAGACTTTTGTCAAAAAGTTCGGTTTTCCGCTGATTCCAACCGAAATTTCCAGTTAGTCATGAAAATAAAATGATTTTATTCGTTTTACTTCGAAACATTTCAGTGCCTGAACTTTTAACACTCATTCCTAATGTCAAAGTGAGTTTCAGTTGGTCGTACCAGCATTCCTTTTTTCAGTGCGTCTGGACGACGCGTCCGATTAAGGTGAAACTTTTCATACGTGTTAAAGCCATTTCAACGCGATAAGTCACGGAGTACTTCCGACCCAAGTTATATGGTTCCGACGGCATCAGTGCTGTGACAGTGCAGTCTGTGACTAAAAAGATTGTATAATCAGCCCACTTGTGTTGTTGATACACTGCTGTTGTGATCCACCGCTTACAAAACGTATCCCCTGAATAACTCTTCCTGCTTTACACCATCTAGGCCCAAAACTGTTGACCAATGTAATTATCCTCGCACGAAGCAAGTTTGAAATCAAAACCCGAACCATTATTACGAACCCCCGTTTTGTCAAAATCTTCTCTTCAGTATCTTGAATCCAAGCGATTTCAGTTTGTAGTGGACTGGCATTCCTAATCGAACATGAAAAATTCAGCTGAGTGTAATATTTATTTGGTGCAGTAAAAGCACCAGTAATGGAAACAATGTGGAGACGCCGTGGTCTTCCCTTAACAATTTGTTTTCTGAAAAGAGCTTTTTCATGGTTCCAAAAGTGACTGACTCGCTGACGCCATTGAAACTACCACGGTGGACATACCGTTTACCCCAAATCGGCTTTGGACACTTGAGATCAGGAACACTGCGGTTGTAGTATCCGTTCACATCACCGTTCCCCATCTTCGATTGGATGATTATTTTGGACACGCGCACAGCGCCATGCGCTGAAATATTGGTTGTAATAAGCTGGAACAACAAATGATAACTCGGTATTCACTTTACTGTATATTTTATGAGGATACATTCTCATCATCTTACTTCAGTTCCGCTCAGTGGTACAGAAAAGGTTAGCAATGGGGCCACTACTGTTACACAGATTTCATACACACTAATATTTCTCAGTCATGGATTTTGAGATTACCTAACCTTGAGATCGAACCCCGTTGGTGACCTCGGGGTTACCGTGATTCTCTCTATTCAAAGTTAATTCATACAAACACGAGCAACCACTTGTACATCAGTTAAATTCGATTGCAAAATAGGCTCTGAAAAACGGAGGCGAAATAACTCGTTTCCTGGTGCAGAGCACTAACATATGCCTACGCTAGAGAGAAAATTACGGCTCATTTTCCTTTGATTTTTGCGACAATCAATCGAGTTCTGTGATGGATAGTATATGACTTCCTACTGCTCATTTATTTTCAAGAATCTGAACAAATAAGATTGCTGGTTTTTTCCATGAAGAAAACTACTCACAAGATTGCTGCTTGTGTAGTTGCGCTTGATCATAGGATTGCCAGGTCACACAGAAGGAAGGATCGGAGCTTTACAAGCTGTCATTGCTACCGGTTAGTAGTGATGCACATTTGAGAAATCACCTTCCAGCCAATCAGCTGATTCTTTCACCGAAAGCGAGCTCGATTTCGACTATCCAATCATCAACGCTCTGTTTTATTCAATACGGCAAACAGCGATCGACTGACCCAAGTCCATAACCAGCCAGCTAGTGGACCAATCGTGTGCGGACATATCTGAACATCCAATGAAGCGTGCAAACAGCGGTGAACGATACTGTTTGTAACTCAATAAAAACCTACAGTCTGACATTGGTGAAGTTCTTGGGGCACATCAGTTCGTCCGGCGTAAGTTGTAGGTAAAAAGTGAAAGAATGTGTTCTGTCGGTAGATGTCCCGAGCCGGGACGAAGCTAAAGTTAACAGCAAAATCTGTGAATTCAAGGAAGACGTTTTGGAAAATCCCAAAGTTCGAACATCTACCATAAAAATCCCTCAACAGTAGGCGTCCATTTAAAGTGTTCCTTCAGGGTGTATGTGTATGTGAGTCCAGGTAGCAATCGACGCATGTGCCCCAGGGCTACTGGAAGTTATGCAGCATAACGTTACGATAAATAGCTTTAATGAATTTGTAGGCAATCGGCTACAGGTTACTAATTACCAAGGACTTTGAGGTCCTCAATATCTATACTACTTTACCTTTGCATTATTTACACCATCAAGTCGATAGGATGGAACCATCTCTCACCGTATGTGAGATGACAACTTCTATACGCTCTGCCGTTATAAAAAAGGGGGGTTGTGCAGTACCGATAAAAATGTGGTATTCTTTACCCGCATTGTTCAAACTACTGGGGAGTCTTTTAAATTGGGTCAATTTGTTATTCCAGAAGCATTCTTTGTTGATCGCGGGTTATGAATTCGATATATCCCGTTTCACGCCCTATTTCTCCCGTTTTCTTCAGGGGCTTGTGGTGAGTCTGTTGAGGGCATACCCGTCACAGCAGGACTGGATGTTGTCTTTATGTGACAGTTTGTGTGCCTCCGTGACCCAAGACGGTATTTTAAACCTCAAGGACGGAGACCGTTTCCTATAGTCTGGACTAAACTGGTAACCTTAAATCAACCACCAGTGCCTTGCATCGGGCTTTTAACCCAAAGGACCAAAAACGAGAAGTTGACTGTAATTCAGCCAGAAAACCTGCTGGAATCAGCCCTGATTAGGCCGCTGTGCAGATAGAAAATCTGATGGGATCAGAATGTTCTGGAACTGGAGGAATTCAGTGCTGCTGGGAATCTTCAGGAGCTGTTTCGCCTTTTGTACAAAGCGGTGCCCAGGCAACTGGTCGGTACTGAGGTGATCAAGGGCAATACTGAAAGTTCACTATTCAGCAAGGGCCAGTAACTTGAACCTTAGTCGCAATGTCTTCAGAAGAAGTTTAGGTCAACTAAATGCACTTCTGAGTGGGTTAACGGACTGTGTCCCCAAGATGACTGTGAGAGCAGTCTTACTTTAATGCTGTGAAATTTGACCACTCAGATCTGAAAACCTCGAACCTATTCATCTGTTTGCTCACCAATGTTTTCATAACATAGCCGGCGTTAACTAGTTGCAGCATAACTGTACTGAAATAGTGCCTGGGTAATGAGTTGTATTCGTTTAAATAGTTATTTCAGCTCTTCAGATGGATGTGGTTGGGGCATGTACTATATGCGCCCGGCTACTTTTCACCGAAGAAAGCTATTTTTACTCCAACTCCTTGTTGATGAAAATCGCGCGAAGCCAAGCCACGACGTGACAACGCAAAATGAGAGTGGCTACTTTTGAAATAAGAACTTTGGGGTCTTCACGAGTTTATGCATCAGGATTACGTACTTCTTTCTGTGCATGTTTGGGAGCCTCACAGA